ATGTATATGTATATGTATATGATGTATATGTATATATGTATATATATGTATATATGTATATATGTATATATGTATATATATATGGTGAGTACACTGTAGCTGTCTTCAGACACACCAGGAGAGGGCACTGGATCCTATTACAGATGGTTGTGAGCCACCATGTGGTTGCTAAGAATTGAACTCAGGACCTCTGAAAGAGCAGTAAATGTAACCGCTGAGCCATCTCTCCAGCCCCTGTCTATACTCTCTAAAGCTAGCCCTCCAGAACCTTATCGTTAGACTTCTTGTCAATATCAAGACAGAATACACAAAAAGCCTTAGCATGGTATTTACCACTCCTGTCTGTCAGTAAATTCTGGCAGTTAGTTTCACTTTCAGACAAGTAGCTATTTAATGTTAGATTTTTCTTAAATGAAAATTATTTTAGAAAATCCTTATGAACATAACTCTTCAAGTATATGGTGTATGTAAAAACCAAAGGACCTGCCTGGGTCTATACCAGCTCTTCAGTGTATGTTATGATTTTTAGTCTAGCATTTTCGTGGGATTTCTGAGTATGTGAATGAGTGGGTCTCCTGTGCCCTCTCTTGGGCTATTTTGCTTCTGTTGGTTTATCCTGTCCAAGGTCAATGTGATAGTTTTTGTTTCATATTATTATATTTTATTTTGTTATTATTTTTTAAAAATGAATGAATGAATGAATGAATGAATGAATGAACGGAAACCTAGCCACAGGGTACAGGTTAACAACTGAGCTGTCATTTATGCCTGCTGGGAGAAGGAAGGTCAGTTTTCTCCAAAGAAGTGACACTGGGTATACCACCCACTCAGGGTAGGCTGCAAGCTCAGAAGTAGTTGATGAACATGTGGTGGGCACCACAGCTTTTTTGTGTTCTTTTGTTTGGCTATAGCTTGCTGGGGTTTTGCTTGTTTGTTTGTTTGTTTGTTTGGTGGTTGTTGTTGTTTTCTGTTTGGTATTTTGTTTTGTTTTGTTGGTTTTTGAAGGGTTTTATTATATTGAGTTCGTGCTTTTGGGTGTTTGTTTTGTTTGGTTTTTTCTCTTGAGAAAGATATTAAAGTTTGGTGGGTAGGGAGGGAGAGAGGATCTGGAATGACTTAGGAGAGGGGAAGACTATGATTAACATATGTTTAAATGTATTGTCTTATTTTAATAATAAAAATGTAAAAAAATCAAAATAAATAAATCTGCTTTAGAAATATCTCAATGGACCTGAGACTGAATGTTATAGATGGCCTCTCACTATACTCCCAAAACACTGAAGCTTCACCTTGGGTGTCAAGAGCTGTGTGTGCTTAAAGGGGGCAATTTCACAAAGACACCGTAAGGACTCCTGCAAGCAGTGTGAAGCTGTTACTGTTCCTAGGGGCACAGAGTTAGCTATGTCTTCTCTCTTCTTCGTGGTCTTCTTGCTTCTGTCAATAACTAAAACACTGTGGTTTTTTGTTTTGTTTCTTTTTTACTTTTCAGTCATTCAAGACTGTCTGCAGCTGATTGCAGACAGCGACACGCCGACCATACGAAAAGGTAATGACCGGCCATCCTCTGTCCACTTAGGATTCAGTCCAGCGTGGCTGATGCTTGTAAGTCTCAAGTCTACGGTAGTGTTTGAACTGCAGCTCCCATCAGACACCCTCCAGAGTTCTTTTAACAGGAACCTTTTCAAACTGACTAGGGAATAAGCACACAGACTAGTATCAGACAGTAAACACATGACCTCAGATTAAATTTTAGATAATCAAATCATGTTGAGCTTAGCTTTTATTGTTCGGGGAAGTGTTGGCTTCTACAGAAACACATGGCTATCTTCATGTGTTTGCCTCTACTCCTTGGCCGGAGATCTCCTCAGGGGATGGAAATGAGGCTGCCATGTCCTAAAAGCTATAATTTTATCCATTTTTAATGTCCAGTGAGAACTTAATGAAGGATTATTTCCTCTTCAGAGTGGAATGCTTTCAATTTGATTGTGCTTTCTCGAAGCTTTGCTAGTTTTAATTTTAGAAAGAAAAAAAATAGTTTTTCAATAGTAGCCAGACACAAAAATACACTTTTCACCCCATTTCCCAAATAACACCACCCACAACTTTGAGCCAGGGGAAGGGTCACAGCACAAGGGCTCAGTTGATAACCCCCCAAGGAGCTTGCTTCTCCTTGCAGGGTTTCAGAGGCTTCCTGAGGCTCTTTACCACACTGCTAACCTTGCTGTCCTCCTCTAGAAAACCCTTTTCTCTCCCTAAGCTAGTCCAGTTCCTCATAGATTCATGTAACCATGCTACTCTCGCTTGCAGTCCCATCCTGAAAACTAAATATCTGGGAAATACTGATGCACTGTAGTCCTTGACAAGATAAAATAATCGGTGAGCAAAAATGTTCAAGAAAGGAATGATCCAGCTGGTCTGCATATTTTATCTGTAGCTGTCTTTTCATTGGGGCACAAAGAAATGTGCAGTCACAGTGGCTTTTTCATAAACGAGTGTAACATTGTACTTTGTTGCATCACAGTGACCGTTTCTTCTGAGTGTAACATTGTACCTTGTTGCTATCACTCTCCCTCCCCTGCTTGAGTGAGGATCTGCTTCCTCCCTTCTGTTTTCTTACCACATGACCACAGGTGTTCCCAAAGGTTTTTCTCTCACTTCCTACAGACCTCCTTTTCATTCATAGTCTGCTACATTTGGCATGCATGCACACACACATACATGTGAATACACATGCACACACATGCTTGCACACACACACACACACACACACACACACAGAATCGTGCTGTATTTGTATTTGTCTTTCCAGGTCTGTGTCTCACTCCAGACAGGGACCTCTAGTCCCACCCACTTTCCTGTGAGTGTAAATAATTTCCTTCATCTTAGAGCTAGATAAAATTAAACTATGTATACGTACCACACTGCCCACTTATCTGTTGACGTATTTATTCAGTTTACGTACAATGATTGAATCACTGAGACTATTGGAATGTTTGTATTGAAGAAAATGTATGTGGGTTTTATTTCAATGGAGCTTGACCACTAATGACCAATGGGAGAGAAGAAAAAAGAATAAAGCTCATGAATTGATAAGTAAGGACTGAACACAGACAACTGAGAAGTAAGGGAAACAGAGCCAGCTAGGGCATGGAGATTTCTGAGGCTTTGGCCCCCAGCTAGAGTTTAGACTACACTTGATGACCAGGGATGGAGAAACAACTTAGGATAGTTAACAAGTGCAGGTTGGCCTTTGCAGTGAGTATATTTTGCATGTATACTTTTGTACATAATTTTAATGGTGTTAAATGCCAAACAGGTACCAGGGCATCTGAAAAGCTATGATTGCTTATAGCTTTTTGTTTCCAAAAACCATGTTTGCAGCATTCAGACATCAGCAACTGATTTTCTAAGAATAGAACTCAAGCCAGAAAAACTGCCTATACAAAACACCTCAAAAGGAACTCACATTTATTGAGCATACGTGGTGATGGTTCATGAGCACAGGCTCAGGTTGCCCCGGAAACGTTCCAACGCAGGAAGCTCCAGCACATTTTTATACCAGCAGAACAAAAGACAGTCAGTCGTATGTCAAAGCATTTTTCAAATGCTTTGCTACAAGTATCAGGTAGGTGGTGGCAAAGAGGGGAGAATTAGCTGTTGACATTATTAACTTTTGGGTTGGTGCAAAGAAACATTTGCTAACCCATTCTAAAAGTTTTGCTGGATAGCCACAAGGATAGAGTTTAAACACAGAAGAGGGGCAATGAATAGATAGATAGAAAGGGGCCAAGCAGAATGTGGTTTGTTTGTTGCTGTTACTTTTCTGTCCAGTGTGAATGGCCTCATTGGGCTACTGTTTTACATTCCCCTTTTGGGCTATGATCTTAAGTGTCACTCCAAATTGTACTGAATTTCCGGGTCCCTTTTTTGAAGAAAATTTTCTATTATAATCCTTGACTACTCTATACTTCTGTTTTTTAACAAAAAAAGATTTTATTTATTTTATGTATGCGAGTATGCTTTCACTGTTCTCAGACACACCAGAAAAGGGCATCAGATCCCATTACAGATGGTTGTGAGCCACCATGTAGTTGCTGGGAATTGAACTCAGGACCTCTGGAAGAGCAGTCAATGCTCTTAACCACTGAAGCCATCTCTCCAACCCCTACTCTATACTTCTTAATTGAGCTTAATTTTTCTCTTTTCTGTTGAGATATAAAACTATAGTGTAGATGACAAAACCTTTACAAAAATGCTTCATTTGTAAATATTTTCCCTTACTTTGAGGATATCTGCATTTTATTTTATTTTATTTTTTATTTATTTTAGAGATAGGGTTTACTCATGAAGGTTCAAGCTAACTCCTGAGTGTTGGAAGTACAGCCATGGTGTTACCATGTTGTTCAGAAGTATTTAATTTGAGGAAATCAAATTTCTTTATTGTTTCCCTATTGTTTCTCACACTTTGGTTACTATTACTGATGAACTTGTCAACAAACTCAGCAGCACAATCCACACCCATGCTTTCTCCCAATGATCACGTTTTTTTATTCGAGCCATTTGTACCTATATGTAAGCCACTGGGTCATTTTTGTCAGTTTCTTGTACGGTGTGGACAGTGTCATGCCGTCACCCATAACATGTAGATATTTCATTATTCTAGTGCCATTTGTTTGGAGGATTGCATCGTCTTGTCTTGACACACTTGTGAAGACCCAGTTGGCACGAGAACCATGGCTTTATTTCTGTACCCAGTGTTTGATTGGTTTATAGTTAAGCATTTGTGATAGAACCCAGCAGTACCTCACCAAGTGTAGCTTGATAAAAGTTAACTCTTCAGCATTGTGTGTCATTTCAAAGACTATTTTGGAGCCTTAAGTATCCTTGTCAATGAATGTCGCCTTTTCCATTTAGAAAAAGGACCACTGCGTTTGTAGAGAAGCTGTACTGACTCCAGACATTACCATCCAGATATTGCCATTTTAATAGTATTAAGTTATCAGCCCATGAACATGAGGCGTCTTCACATGTACTTATGCCTCCTGTGTTAATTTTAACAATATTTTATAAATTTTATCACGTGCATCTTTTAAAAACACACTGAATCAATTCATTCTTAGACATTTTGTTCATTTGAATTCAGTGTCAGTTTAGATAGCTATAATAGATCACGGTAAACTGTACTATTTAAGCAATAAGTTGTTTTCTACAATATTGGAGGCTAGAAAAGTCCAAGAACAGTTGCCAGGATGTCTTTTTGTATTTTGTGGTGGTTGTCTTTTCATTATGACCTTGAACAATGGATAAAGAGCCAAGATCACCTCACATTTCTTCTTTAAAAGATACCCGTACCAAGCTAGGCAGTGGTGACCCGTGACCTTAATTCCAGCACTCATGAGGCAGAGACAGGTGGATATTTGTGAGTTTGAGGCTAGCCTGGTCTACATAGTGAGTTCTAGGACAGTCAGGGCAACACAAAGAAACCCTGTCTCTAAAAACCTAACTAACTAACTAACTAAATGTCCGTATGTATGTATGTATGTATGTATGTGTGTATGTATGTGTATGTATGTATGTATGTGTCAAATACTTCCTGAAGGCTCTATCTCTGAACAACATCACTGGAACATAAGAAGACTTAGCGTGTGGGTTCTGGGAAGACATGAGCTCATTGCATAACAAATAATATCCAAAGATGGAATTGTCCACTTCAGTTCTACATTTTTTCCTTCTTGGCTGAAATGAAAATGACTTTGGGGAGTTGACCCTTTGTGAAGCAACTTAGCTAAAACCATTTGTTAGTTTTGCTGGGTTTAATATCTGTTCCGTAGATCACTGTTCTGTGTGTCAATAAATGGTCCTACTTTACTTCTCTCAGTTGGATGCCTTTCCTCCCATTCACTTTGTCTCCTGGCTGCTATAGCTACAATTCCAGTGCAGCACTGGGTAGCAGTAATAAAAGTCCTGTCCCTGATCACGCCAAGGAGCATTGCATTTACACTTACATGATTAATGTGTGATACAGAGTTTCTTGTGGTTTCTGGCTTCAGGACCAGGGTGATTCTGGCTTCACAGCATGAGTTAATAACTATTCTGGTTTCTAGAAGAATTTGAGGAAGTTATTGAAAGTGTCTGTTTATATGTCACCATCCTGGTTCCCTTAAGTTGCATAAACATGTTTAATAGTTCCATGTCTGGCATTTTAGGGGGATGGTTTCTGTTAAGGTTTTATTTTCTCTTGGGGTTGGTCCATGATTTACTTATAGTTTTGTTTGACTTCTAACCTTTTTTTTCTTGAAAATTAAAGAGTTTGGAAATCATATTGTGGTGCTTCTGGAAATCAGGTACTCTACCTATCCTATAGTCTCCTGTGGGTGACTATGATATTGTCAGCATAGTTATTTACTTGTTCAGTTGCTTTTCACCCATCTATCCATATATCCATCTATCTGTCCATCCATCCATCCATCCATCCATCCATCCATTCTTTCTTTCTTTCATCTATCCATCCATCCATCTATCATCCATCCATCCATCCATCTTTCC